CCGAGGTACCCACAAGTCTGCAGCGTCCAGCTGGCCGGCCTCCTCGAACGCTTCAGATGGATCACTATGTCTTCGGATTTATTCCTAATGTCGGTATTCGGAGAGCTCCGCACCCAGTGGTTTTTGCAATTTTTCCCGGCTGCCATACACCCGCAAATGGCCGTCGCTTTGTTGGCTGGAGAGGGGAGATAATGAAGGGCAAAGGGCTCCCCTGAGTGTATGATCGAATGAGGACTTGTGAGGGGAGGTACTGTTTGAGGGGAGCTGTATGGGAGGCATAGGAGGGGATATACTACTGGTGTAGGTATCCTTGGTCTGTAGGCAGAGAGAACCTGGGTATCCTACGTGGTCATAGATTCAGACATGACATCAAAGTGAAATAATAATATAGTATTAGAGGGTTGGATGGTGTAGTGGTACACCATCCAGGCCGTTCTCCTAAATAGATTCTGGGTAGTCGGGACACCTACCCCATTTGAGACAAGAGAAAGCTGGTTCGAACCCAGTCAGACCCACACACCACTCTCTCTCGCGGTGATATCTTACTTGTGGAATGATGAAAGAACACTCGCATATCCACAGGTTTTTCGCGCTTTTCCCCATGGTGGGCACGCACGGAAGAAGTTATACGCCGTAAGGGTTGACCTCGAGTGGTATCTGCAAGTGAAATCTGAGTGTGAGTGTTCTAAACGTCAAATTGAGTCATCCTACTAAAAATACATATCTTTCGATAAAAACCAGCATGGGCCTCTGTTGGAAACTATACTCTATACGATATTATATGGATAAATATGATGAAGTAAAGAAGACTTGATATTTTACAACTATCTGAACATTGGACTTATATATACATCTTAGGGGAGAAATTCCCACAAGTCTCATGTGCCTGTCAAACCTAGTGATGACCAGCCACCTCTCATCTACCATGATGATCCAAGGTACACTTTAGTACGTAAATATCCAATTGTAAATGCAACAGTAGGCGCGATTAGCGCACTCGTGACATGTGTAGAGAGAGTCGATCTTGTCGGGAACCTGAGACGAAACAGGTAGTGGTTGAGTCCTAAAATCGAGGGTCAGAATTTCCAACAGTCTCAAGGCACTAAATCAGGTAAAATGAACTATATATATAAATATAGAATTAGGCTGAACGAGGTCTAAGCGGATATTAGAAGTCGCGGAATTAAAAATATTCCTTCAATCCCGACTCTTCATCCTCCAAGATTTTATCCCCCTTGTGTATCATCCACATACCTTTTACCTCTTTCTTCCGAGGTTCCTCTAGAGCTTGTAATCCGTAAAATAATTGCATCTAAACATAGGCCCTCGCTAAATGCTTCAAGACCTATTACCTACTTTATAGGCATCCAAATTAACGTCAGTGTGTAGCTCGATAAGTGGTCACATTTAATCGTGGTGACATTCAGATCGAGTATCTGTTGTGGTTATGAGCTATGCGGAAGTCACATTGCGGAGTGATGAGGAGTGGATGATGTTATAATTTGTGGTTGACAGTGAGTAGCCTCATACAATACTATACTGTAGGTATGTGGACAGAAAGTATAAGACTAAACCTGTGTCCATTTATTGTGGGTACATTTATGATACTATATACATGCTCGCCTAACCATTACACTAGTGATGTATACTGTGGCCTTGAGCCACACGCGATGCCCTAGCCTCGACTACCTCGTTGTCTCTTATCATAACAGTATCGGGTAGCATTGACTAGACAGAAAGGTAAGATTCAGAGGGGCATGGTAAGTTTGGAGTCGGGTCCTGTTGGGGGCAAGCCGAGATGGCAAAAAAATCTTATTTTGAGTTTTCCTTGTAGGTCTCGACTTTAACTTGGATGCGCTTCTCCTTGGCAGTCCCAGATACGCAGAGAATAGTAGGCTTTTACGGCTGCAGCGCCATGAGCTGTAGAATTCGCTTGCCGACAAAATGTGTTTATGGATCAGGATACCTCACTTTGGGGTACGCCAGAAACATGAATACGTGTTGAAATTATGGAGTACAGAGATAAGTCAGGTGATGGTTGATGGCAGTTATTGATGAAGGATTTGGTTGTTGAGTTTACTATTATTTCTATGTTGGGATACACCTTGTCGATGCTACTAGGCTCGATAATTAGTAGTCCTGACCGACAGGTGTTTGACGAACGGAGATTACGAATACCCTGTGTTAGCGTTGTCGACTGCTGTTAATAGGAGATCCCGCAGGACTATCTATTGGGATTAAAAAGAGTCTGGTAGCTGCGATTAGAAGAGTAAACGAATCGACATCCTTTTATCCTCCATTATTGCACAAGATTCCCTTTACCAATAAGTCCACGAACTAAGTAGTGGGTTATACATTTCAATAATACGGTTGAAAAGTGCGGTAGTATATGCTCCGGGCTTATTAGCCGAGTCCAGCTTAGATAGCTTGGTCACCTATGCTACTCGAGACGGGAGATAGCTTGTTCAGGCCCAGTAAGGCCCAATCACCTATCACGCGGCCATGTGCTACAACGATAGAAGACATTAGGGATTCGCGCTGATGGATACTCGTGAGCGAAGATTGGCTGTTCAGTGTAAAACAATACACCTCATAGAAATATTTGCAAATAAAATGCAGTGTCGAAGCTAGATTGCTTGAGCCATCTAACACGTATACACATAGCAGTGATTATGTCTCATTCCCAAATAACTTTACATACACATGGCAATCGACTAAGCTGCACCACGGGCAAGCGCTCTGCAATTTCAGCCCCATCTCTAATGACGCTGTGCATGATGTGGTCTACCGGCCCTTGGACATTAGCCTTACTGGACGAGGAAATCATGCGCATGGCATGAACTTTCAACAGTATAGATAGATCCAGTCGGATTAGTTGCTCCAGCAAGTTAGTGACTTTGGAGAAAATGTTTGTAACCTATTCTTGATAGCTTTTACCTGAGTATTATGCAATCCGGAGGCACACACGGTGATTTTCTCAGCTAAAGCGGCTTGTCGTGAGCGAGCTGGGCATCACACGATTCGACCTTATCTCAAGATGAATTGTAGACCACGTGAGTCATGCAGAGAAGATATGGAGTTGTCATCTACGGCACCCTTAGTCTTGGTAAGATCCCTGCGGTCCAGGCTCCCGCTCTAGAACTTCGCCCGACACAGATCTATTTTTCTGTTTAATAAAGTTGGTATCTCGGCTTAGAGTGATACTTCGACTGCCAGGCTCACAGGGGTCAGGGCGAACTGATGGTCCAATGTTCAGTCATCGTCTTTCTCCTGCGTCGATGACTTGCCCTGTAGTTCCAGCATAGTTGGATCTGATCGCTAGTGGCGTGCTTGGCTCCTTGAACACCTCTAATCCCTAGCAAGTTCTCGGACCGTGGGCCGACGAGGGGAGATGGGCACGAACGGAGATCCCATCGGTGTAGAAAATCTACAGGAAAAACTCGAGCCTTGCAGAGGTCCGTAGCTATCTGAGAGATAAGAAAAAAATATGTGATAGCTGGACAAGTCTCACTTTTCCCTCGCCCCAGAGATAACTGATAAGTTTCGGGCATCTCAGATGGAGGGGACTCAGAAGAGAGAGGATTTTTTCCCAATGACCATGAGGCCCCTCACCCAACCAACAACTTTGTGAGCTACTTTGTCGCAAGTTTTACACTGGACTAGTTAAACATTGCTAGTATCCAGGCAGGCAGGCTCCTGATCGCGTACTGGTGACAACACCTCCCCAAATAGAAATTGCCGGCTGAAAGAAGAATGTACTGACAAGCTGCTCGCGAAAACTTGGAGATATAACCTCTGCTGTGGCCTTGAGCTTACTAGTTGGTAATTTGCGGGCGTTGTGACAAAAGAAGTCGACTGTTCACCATCCTGCAGCCTGCATCGCGTGCAATGAGGCAGGGTACTCGTCTGTCAGCAAGAGCTCTGCATATTCGTTGGGCCGCTGCCATCCTAATGCGCTCAGTGTTTTCGGAATTTTGGTCTGTTTGTGAGGCCCGTTGGTCAAGTTTCAAGAGCCAAGGGCCTACCGAATCAGTGAACCCATGAGGAGTCATAATTTCTTGCAAAACCTGTTTGCAGGCGAAAAGCCTTCACCAACTTCCAACTCGACACCTTTAGCGAACATGAATTGAAGTGTTGCCCGGCAGAGCCATACCGCCTCTAACCTCCTGGCGCAACCTGCCACGTACTTCGTCAGGCCAACATATGTCATTAGCCGGTGCCATCGAGGGGAACCCCACACTGTCTTCTCCTTCATTCCAAAGTCATGCAGACTCAAAACTTCCGCAACTATCAAGATTGTGGCATCAACCATACGTGGCTTTTTATGCCTAACCCCTCCACAGAGCTTTCCAACAGATTTTCTGGCTCACCCATCGAAATATACCCATTCTATTTCCGTTCACTGGCGTCTGGTGCCTCCTGAACTCCGCCACTATCTTGCGTACTGCCAACTGCTTTTCAGCACCGAGTGAAAGACTTCACGTAACTTAGTAGGGTTTGGGGACTAAGAGAAATGCCATGGATTGGAACATTCCCTGAGAATCACCGGGAGGCAGAAGTGGAAATTTTAACGTGGACGGCATAATGGTTCAAATGATAGAAGTCTAGCCTTTATTTGGTTTTACTTTGCAATCAACTAAGACCTAGTATAATAAAAGATTAAGATTACTGGCATTAAATTATCATTCTTGAAAAATATGGCTATGAACCAACTGCGCTTCTAGTTTGGGCGACAAAGCAACATTCCACGTCCGAGACCTAAGTTTACTCATTCTTTCCTTTTGCGAGTATTTTATTCTTGGCTGTGAGCCTTCGGTATTTTAGGCTCATCCAAGGTACCAAAGATAGGTATTCAATACCAAAGCTGCAAGGGTTTCAAATATTTCTGCTTGGTATTAATTGTTGTGAACATATATCTTGACATAAGAGCCACAGTCCATATATTGGGTATGATAACTAATGACTTTGCTTGGTGAAAAGAGTCCCAGCATTAATGGACTTCAATCGCTTGCGAGTAGCTTCACAATATCTACTTTACGGACATCTCGAACTTTACTGGGATTACTGTGCACATCATCACCTATTAGGGAGCCATCAGTTATGCAATGCGACCTATTGATTCTCGAAGTTACGGTGGGACTTTTCAACATGCAACACAAAAACGACGAGACCAGAGGGAGGCCTGGCATGACAACCTCTTGCTATGTCAAATCCTCCAGCGCCACATGAAGTGGCACATAATGCCCCGCGATCACTCTTTTAAGATAAATATTGATCAATTATTTTGGAAGGGATGTTAGTACTTGATTCATAAAATCGCTTTCCACGTATCGAAAAATGAGAAGTGAAGCATAAAGTAGGTGTGAGGAGATAAGTTACTCTTTGGTGAAATTCCCAACGTAACAGAGGTCGAGATTAGTTGTTTAACCAATGATAATCAACGGCGGTATTGTGAGGATTTGACACCGGGCATCCGAGCCGTTGGGTCATTCGCTTTTTAACTTGAGACGTAAGACGGAATATTCGCTCTCGCTCTCCAATCAAAGGGATTGATCCAGAGATTGTAAGACTGCCCAAGCAGATTATTAACTTCCCCCCTAATTTCCACCGCGAGAAATCCGACATACTGGTTACCCAAACTCAACTGTGGCAAGTCGTATCAATTGTGAGAAATCCATCTCAAATTTTCAACCTCAATTCTTAGTTAGGCTGGAGTACGTCTTTAGGAGAATATTACACTTTCAGACTCGTAGAGGCTACCGCTAATAGGAAAGAAACCGTGTCTATCCCTAGTAGTGCTTGTAGTTGTAGTTTACTAGGTGGACTTTCAGTATGATCAACGAAGCAACTACCGCTGATATCTAGGTAATAAACGCCATTTAAGAGAGCTAAAAACTGGCCGCCGGTCTAAAAGACATGAGAAAATCAAAGGGTAATGGTTCGATTGTGTAGAATAAATTGTTCGTGTTTACGGCTAAATCAACGTCAAGATTTTGCAACTCAAAATAATCGGTATTTGACACCTCTTCGTAACTGGTCAACTCACGTCAAAAACGCCGCAGAAGAGTAGTAGTTGTGCAAAGGAAAGACCATTGTCGAGTATGGACGGGCCATGAAAATGTCAAACAAAATATTATTTTGCTGCGTTGCACGTCGAGTCCTTTGAGGTATCTACTTGGCAGCTTTTTAGGGTTTAGGGAGAGCTGCGACGGCTGCACGGTGGTCAGATGACATTATCAAGGAAGGTAACAGTTTGGGGTTCTGCGGTTCACATTGTCTCGCTTGGGATTATGACGGCAAAAGGATCACTATTGAACCGTCCAGGATTGTTGATCCCTCTATTGGGAATGCTCATACACGCTGTTATCCATTGGCATACTCACGTTTGCCCGCATTTTGCTTAGCTTTAGCTCCGAGCGTTACTCGCTGAATCTCCTCGAGCAGACAACACTATCACGGACCTAATAGTCTTGGCGAGTCAAACGTTATGATTTGGTCTCGCTAATAGCGTGTGATGGTCAAAATAGGTACACATTAATTCCCAGGTAGAAGAATATTATGGCTGGGCATTAACAAGAGACTATGAGTTGATTAAATTCATACACTTAGCCCTAGCCATTAATAGATCGAAGAGTCGATGTGCTTCTACCTATTCTTTTCCTCCAAGATGGTCTGCATGGATAATTTTTGCACCACATGGTGAGATACGTAAGCTCATCCAGGAATAATAATGTGAATATACCGTGTGCCCTCTACCCAAGACAGAGTCTACATGACTCATGGAACTGCTTAAGGGTCATTGGGTTTCGTGTGTGGGCCTGGAAGCTTAATGGCTACACGAACGATTTCTCCTTACTGACTGAATGTGATTGCTTCTGTTTCGTCGCTCCTGAACCACGGTCCTACCCCACTTTTATCTTTGTGCCTTACGATTGTCCTGAGGCCAGGAAGAATAAGTTAACTCAATCAACCGTCCCTCCATCACTATCCTATCCATTCATCGACACATTTGGTGACAAGTATTTCGGCGCAGCGAAATTGGCCAGGAGCGACCTCACCTACTTCTCTTGACTGTAGAAATAGGGCGTCATCACTTCTTCTGCTTGGACTCGATTCGACAAGCAGTATCATTGCTAGCCTGCTTTGTTCGAGTAGCATTCCACCAATCTTGATCAACATGAAGCCCTATGAATGCATGAGCTGCTAGCTGCTGGCTTATTTTTGTTTATACCCGCAACAAATCCACCATTGTTCTCAAGTCGCCAGGCGTGATATTGACCAAAACGGACGACACGACTCATTTTGACCCAACCCCCCCTAAGCTTATCAGTAATAATAAAGAATTTAGCGACGAATCATAGTGTAGACACTGAATCTTGTTATCCTCAACCTTCTCAACCATGAACAGTGGCTCAGGAACACTCACCCAGCCATGGGCCCTTCATCTCCAAACCCAACCTGGTAGCGTTGGGATGGAACGTTCTTTCAGTATTGATATTCAAGAGGAACGAGAAGACCTTAAAGAAGCAGCAGAACAAACACTTAATGTCATTCTTGATCTTGGCATGGATGGCGTCATACAGTGGGTTAGTCCATCTTGGACCAATGTTATCGGTACCACCCTCGAGTCAGTACAGGGAAAGCCTATAAAGGATCTATTAGTCAGCGAAAATAAAAGTGTTTTCTCGGACGCGATGGAATGCATGAAAAAAGATAATTCAAGGAGTCAATTTATTCGTTTCTCCGTGCGATTAGGCCCCGCCTCAAAACTAGCACCATTCTCAGATCCCGAGAAATGGAACGATAACGCCCTCGCAGATACAACTCATGAAGAACTAGCTACTATCAACCTCGAGGGACAAGGAATTTTAGTTAATGAGCGGGCTTCGGATCAGGAGGGTGAAGAGACAAATGATAGAGGAGGAGAAACCCACGTAAGAGAAAATGTGTGAAATGAATTCCCTCACTAATGTCAAATACAGACAATGTGGATGATCCGTCCATGGATTGCTCCTCGAGAAATTCAGATTGACCTCCCAACTATGATTGTAGAATCTCTAGGTTCTGGTGCAGAAGTTCTGGCTAGCTATCTAACTCAGCTGTCCGACCCAAGTTTGGAAGACCCCTCATACTTTGATCCCCCATCGCCTGTTCTCTGTCGTATCTGTGAGTGTCAAATTCCACCTTGGTGGTTTGAAAAACATTCGGAGCTCTGTCTTCAGGAACATAAAGCAGAGATGGAGGTGCAGATATGCCAGGAAAACCTAACCGAACATCGACATGCCATTGTTAAAGTCCTTGACGCATTAGAAACAAAGAAAACTGAATCCACATCAGAAGAACAGTCAGTATCGACTGTACCTCAGGCCGAGTATAAAGGTATGACTATCGGTCCTAGCTCTCCAATAACCCCTACCTCATCTGGACCTACATCGCTGGGTCTTGGGCGATCACGAGACCTTGCCAACAGCGGTAATGGCTTTGGACACTCACGCACAAAATCTTTTGCCGTTAGACGCCCCCTGGCTAGGATTGTTGAGCTGTTATTAGACCTTTGCGATACTTCTCTCGAAATAAGTACTCCTGCTATAAAGGAAGCAGCATCTCAAACCCCGGGTGAGTTCCGTGTTCAATCACCCCAATCAGAGGGACGTATTTCTCAGGTAATGCAATGGCAATCTCCAAGTACGAATACACTCGATCAAGAACAGGGACTAGCGACTCTATGCGCTGATACTGAGAGGGTTGCAAAGGCTAAAATAGAAGCTGTGCTTCGATATCGAAGCATCATTGAGTACACTGAACGCATTCGCGTCGAGTTCTCCATGATGGTTCAGGAATGCATAGATGAAGCAATACAAAAAGCTCTTAGATTCTCTTCAGGGAACTACACAGAATCTGAATATCAGGAAGAGGATGACTTTGCAGATGAAAATTATGATAACAACGACGAACAAATAGCCATGGAAAGTGGAGAGAACGAGGAAGAAGGTGTAACCAGAAAAGCATTGAACAAAATTCAAGAAAAAGGATTTTTTACCGGCTCCTTTAATCACCCAATACCTCAGGGTAAATGCAAAGAAATAAATCAAGAAAATAATCGAGAGTTTTTACTGTCGCCTACCACTACCACTGCTTCTAAACTGATTGCTAGATCAGGTAGCCCGAAAGAATACCCCATACCTCGATCCCCAGCACTGCAGCACAACCTCAGCTTGCGGTCTCAAGAATCTCGACGCCAATCCCTTTTTAATGAAAGCGACTTCGGCGATAGTGATGGCAGTTTGAAATCTTCATCGATAAACTCACGGCCTACGCGATTGGAATCACCAGTATCTGAATTTGGTAATCTTCGACGGGCCACGAGTTCCTGTCAGCGGAGTCGTAGGAGTGTTATTATTCCGGGTACGTCATCGCCACATCGACAAGAGTCGCCCGTTAGGGTCCCGCAACCATCTTCGCCGCTCCGTATATCAAAGCCTCGGTCCTTAGTAGTAGCTCACGAAGGAATCATCTCGCCAGCAGGATCGCCATTGCTGACCAATAGTGAGTTTAGCTCTCCCTTAGTTCATCTCCCTCATCATCAGCATCGACGTCAATCATCTGTCCCGGGAGTAGATTCTTCGAGACCACCACCTTCTCCTCGACTATCTTCCGTAAATGCGCCACAAGTCCGTGCCGTTCCGCCTTCCATTAAAGATTTTGAGATAATTAAGCCTATCAGTAAGGGGGCTTTCGGCAGTGTATATCTTGCCAAAAAAAAAACAACTGGCGACTACTACGCTATTAAGGTCCTCAAGAAAGCCGATATGGTTGCCAAGAATCAGGTAACAAATGTCAAGGCAGAACGTGCAATCATGATGTGGCAAGGTGAGAGCGAATTCGTCGCTAAGTTATATTGGACCTTCTCTAGTAAGGACTATCTTTATCTGGTTATGGAATATTTAAACGGAGGTGATTGTGCTTCTCTAATAAAGGTTCTTGGCGGACTTTCAGAAGAATGGGCAAAAAAATATCTCGGCGAAGTAATTTTAGGTGTGAAGCATCTCCACAGCCGAGGGATTGTGCATCGCGACTTAAAACCTGACAACCTTTTAATCGATCAAAAGGGCCACTTAAAGCTAACCGATTTCGGATTATCGAGGATGGGATTAATCGGTAGACAAAAGCGAGTCCTCGACAGCAACGCTAACGATTCCACACCTGATCTCCTTAAGCAGGGACCTTTCACACGCGCAGCATCTCTAAGCTCTTCAAGGTCTACATCGATAGACTTTCAGGGGTTCCAATCTCCCAGCCCCCCATCTAACGAACAGAATATGATAACGCCTTCTTACTTTAACTTGAATCGGGATGGTGTATCGTGTAGGAGGCTTTCTAGGCGCCCTTCTGGCTGGAGTGAGAGTAGCGACAACCTGCATCGAGCTTTTAGTAGCTTTTCACTTGAGGATCAGGATTCTACGAAATTAGTAAAGCAAAGACGAATCGAAGAGGCAACTGGGTACGCATGCAGTCCGCCCAGCCAGTTATCACAGCACTCTTTGAACAGTCATCACAACCCTGAACACAAGAATAACACCCCTTCAAACATGATGCCCCTTCCGATGGCACTTTTTGACCCTGACGACAGCAACCGAAGATTTGTCGGCACACCTGACTATTTGGCACCTGAGACCATCAAGGGGATTGGACAAGATGAAACGAGTGACTGGTGGTCAGTGGGATGCATTCTTTTCGAGTTTGTCTACGGATATCCCCCATTTCACGCGGGGACTCCTGATGAAGTTTTCGAAAATATCCTTGCTCGCAAAATCTGCTGGCCAGATGCACAGGAATCAGATGTCTCTGTTGAAGCTAAGGATCTAATGAATAGACTCCTATGTTTAGATCCTACATCGCGTCTTGGTGCTAATGCTCATGATAGATTTCCTTGTGGTGGGGACGAGGTTCAAGCTCATGCTTGGTTTGAAAATGTTGATTGGGACAAGCTGCTCGAAGATGATCCAGAATTTATCCCGGCTCCCGCGAATCCAGAAGATACTGAATATTTTGACGCTCGAGGTGCCATCTTACAATCGTTCGCCGAAGAGATGGAGGATCAGTCATCGCCGCAATCAACTGCACCCGCGTCAGATTATCAAGAGAGGCCACACGACGCTCTCTCCCGTGTGCGCTCCCCAGTAGCCTCCATCAAAAGAAATATGGTACCATTACACATTCCGCCTCATGTGCGCGACTCAAAAAGTCGTCGCCTTAGTGAACCAATTGTAGCTGATGACTTCGGGAATTTTACCTTCAAAAATCTTCCCGTGTTGGAAAAGGCCAACAAAGATGTTATTCAAAGGCTCAGAGCGCAAGCAATAGCCTCTCAACTCAAGTCGACTTGCATAGCACCTCAAAGTAGCGGTAACTCTATCCACTTGGCAACCGTTGCCGATGGAACCCAGCCACTGCAAAGTACTCTTCAGAGAACACTGTCTGGTATCAAAGTTTCATCTAGATCCTCATCTCCGTCTGGTGTGAGCCAAAGCAATTCCTCGCCTAATCGGACTTCTCAGCCCTCTTCGCCCTTGCTTGTTTCGTTCGTTGCTGGTCACACAGATAGTCGCCGCAAAGTATCAAACACTTCGTCCAGTCTTGCAAACCAAGCCGTTGGATCTTTAAATCCTGTCAATATTCCTGAAAACTGCCGTGTACCAGCACATAAACAAAATTCAACGTCTGCTCTAACATCTCCGAACAAATCTTTAGGAAAAACTCCATTGCCACTTCCTCCAGTGTCGCCTCCAAAGGTGTCAAACCCCACAAATATATCAGAAAATACTTACAATAGATCTCGGTCAATGACTATCGAGTCACAAGAATCTAATGGCCCTTCTTTCAGTGAGTTATATTCAGCACATAGGAAGCGGCGGAGCCAAGTTTTCGAAATGTCTCCCTCATCTTCAGATAATGAAGGTGATAAAGAGAGTGCATTCCTTCGTGTTCAGCGTCGTCGCCAGAGCTCTAGACGTTTATCACAGGTTACTTTCACTGACGGTCCGATTTTCCGGCCCTTGGATGTTCTCATTTGTGAGGATCACCCCGTATCGCGGATGGTAATGGAAAAGCTTCTCGAAAAACTAAGATGTAGGAGCATTACTGTCTCTAACGGTGCCGAAGCTATGCGGTATGCTATGAGTGAAATAAAATTCGACATTATATTAATGGAATTTAAGTTGCCACAAATTAATGGTGCTGATGTTGCGAGAATGATTCGTGATACCAAGAATGCGAATTCGCAAACCCCTATTGTTGCAGTGACCGGTTATCTCAAGGACTTACAAGCTCCACATCAGTTCGACGCATTGATCGAGAAACCCCCAACTACCCTAAAATTGACTGAGATAATGTCCCATTTATGTCAGTGGAAAGCGCCTACGGCTGGTCAAGGTTATCCGAGTCCCATGGGGTATCCTCAGCTCTCTAGCTTACGATGGGAGAGCCGACGTTTAGATGATAGTCCTACGTCAGGCTCATCGGGATCAGCTCATATACCTAGCAGCAGCCTGAGAAGCTCCAGCCAAGGAAACTCCATAAGCTCTAGCATGTGCGGCGATGATTCTGGTGTTTATATGAGCGATCATGTTCCAATTATCGTGAATCGTAGGGCCACGGGATCTTGGGAGGGAACTGCAGGGCTCGGAATTAAAAATGAAGAAGGTTCAACAGGACCCCGTGACTACAATAAGCCATTCCATCCGCCTAATCTAAATTATCCATCATTACGAGGAAATCCTGAGACAGGTTTTGACCGTTCAGCCCAGCGCTTCGGAGGTATTTCAAAGGAAAAATGTAAGAAATATCAGCATCATGAGCCTGATTGTATAGAGTCAGAGGACGAGGAGGGCCAAGCTCGAGATCTCTCTATGCCAAAGAGATGTCCAAGAGGGAAAACGCAAGGTCACACACATCGGGAATCAAAGCTTGGCATTGAAATGATGCGTACAAATAGTCGAGGAAGTGTTGTATCGGTTCCGGACCTCAATTCCGATCCAGAAATCTTTAATTATTCGAGTTTGAAGGAAGAAGCCAGCTTCAAGGGAACCGAATGTGCAAGAATGTTATCACCCAAGTCATCTTTCATAGGCACTAGTAAAGCCAACCAAGAAAAACAAAAAACGCCCCAACACGCTTTATTGAAGTCCGTAACTACGGATGAATTAACCCCTCGAGGGCCTTCCAACTTATCTAGTCAAAGTCAACGAAACAATTCTCATGGCCGGCACAGATAACCCTAGATTTGTTATAATATAAATAATTTGCTTTTATTGCCCTGGAATGTAATCACCATGGCCCCCACTATCTTGGCGCAAGAGCGTGGCGTTTGAGTGGCGGATGAGGAGTTTGGTCAATTCTGCCTGACGAGATAAAGTTTTTAAGCGTTGAATTTTTGACGTCTGCATGCATGATTCTATTTTTTTCAACGGTGAAACACACTCTTTTTATTCAAATTTCGCATCCTCATTAATTTCCTTTATCAAATGTTTTGTAGGACGGCGTTGTAGACAACGAGGCTGTGTGGATTTGGAGCTATTTTAAAGCCATGATGACTCAAAATATCAAAAGAAAGGGAAAAATATACCGGTCGGAATGTACTAGCTCGCTCTCGTGTCAAGTGAGGAAAGAAATTGAATGATGACTACCGCGCACTGTGGAAATAGTTGTGATATAGGGAGATGTTGGGTGTGTCAGATTTGAAGAGCTCAGGTGATCGGAGACTCTCGTGCGCTAGCTGAGCATGGTCGCACTGATGAGTATCGCATGCATTGCCCTGAAGAATAGCTGTGGTGCCTGAAAATTGTGCTAGATGAGGAATGTAAATTCTGTAACACTAAAACAATGGTCATGACAGTTAATATTACTTTGATAAAACCGACGTGCCATGCTAAAAAACCACTACGGCAATGTCTACGGATAAAGAAAAATGCTCAAGTAGGGATCCAAGCCACTAAATAAGTCATCTGTATAGACACTTAATCGCTGATCTAAGATCAAATTTGTCTCACTAGAAGCTAATTTTTACTAGTGTAGTTAGAGCTATGTTTACGTTGCGTGAAAATATGATCAAAACTAAATGCCAAGGGAAACCTCTTTTCTTTAATCTATTGGGCTTCTTAATAGAATCAAAGCTGTAGACTAAGATGAAGCTTGATATGAATATGGTTAATCTAAACGAGTGGTGAGTAATTATCAAAAGCTATTCAAATTCCATGAGATGAATTTGTCCAGATTCAAGTTAGCATTGCCTTAAAAACACTTCCACATGCTCTTGGAAAAGGTAAAGTCTCCGTGCTCGTGATTAAGAACGATTCATCTTTCCCAATTATAAGGATATTAGTGTTGAGTTGCCTCCGAAAACGCAAGTCACTTTGTGATAACTTGATCTGAAGTTTTATTGCCGAGTTCTCATTGATACAAGTATACCGTTATGGATATCAGAATTAAAGCTTACTCTGATTCAGATGAATGATTCCGTCTTAATCTAGCGCTAACCTTTTGAGTCCGGTTGTGTATGTTGATTCGCGGTAAGTCCGAGGGACTTGCTGTGGTTATAGATGTCCCTTGCAGACTGTCGAACTTCATTATTAAAAGATCGAAATTTATGTTGTATCATTTTCTTCGTTTAGAATATGATTGTGGGCACGTTGGCCAATTAAAAATATGGTTACTGTTGCTTTGAATTTAAGTCTGCCTCGTACAATGTCTCTCGAACTGATGCTACCTGTAATTTTGAGCTTCAAGACAGCCAAAACACCATACTTCTCCCTCCGCCCCCTTCTCAACGCAGCAACGACTACATATTACTGAATCATGTCTGGAGAAGCTTTCTACTCCGCATGTTTTGGATGGCAATAAAACAAGCTGAAGAGGGCTTTCGGTCGTATGGTCTCTATGGTGGTATCCTATACCGTCACATTGACGGATACAGATCCAACAGGTCCTTTCTTGGCAGCGCTCACAATCGACATAGAACTGCAGTTCATTTTTATCTGTCGGCTTACGCCGACAGATGTGACATGCACCAATTTCGAGGCAATCCTTTGACTCATTTACGATAGCGTCTGGTCCCATCATCTTTCCCTCATGCCTCGGTTCTTGGTTAACGACGGTAGTTGGAATCAATGTCAAGTCTGGATAAGTAGAGGCTGGGGAAAAGCGAAATCGTTTGATGTGATTTTCCGGAGACTGGTGATTCCTTTTGGCCTTCAATAACAACAGTCGTTTCTCCATTCCACGATTCTTTTCATTTCCCCTCTCGCTACCCACAATGGCTAGCTCAGAGCCATAGAATGATTCCCCAGCAGACTTTACTCTATCGGCAATTTGAGACGAAGGCAGTATAATGTGTCGAGAACTGGACGCATTCATATTAGTTTGCTAGCCGTGTACAAGTATGGTGAGCTAGAGGTACATTACCTGGCCTGAAACATCATAGGACAGTCCAATGATTCTTGGTCATCATGCCCACGCTTCCGGCAATTTTTGGGTGAGTGGGTAGAATATGGTTGCGCTTCAGCGATGGAAGGCATTGAAAAGCCCCAAGAATGTCTAGGGTTAATTTTGGAGAGAGCACACTCCAAGATCTTCTCACGAAACCAAAATAATATGGAGTCGGGCGTAAGTCAGGAGATAAAAGGTACGTATTGATGTAGAATGTTCCCCATCCAGTTCCCGACCCTGTGCTGAAGTCAAGTTTATATGTCGTTGAATGGGAGGGGTGGCGACGGGGGGGTATCCTTGACAAAGGCGGATTTCGAGAAAGATGACATTTGAGACTTTTACTGCGATCTAATGCATAGTCAACATCAGCAAACAGTAATATTTATAAGCAAACGCAACAATACTTGGATGTGTTTGCCACATTATTAACTGCACTATTTATCCCTATGCTCAGAGTGAATACGAGGAGAGGATGAATTATTTATTTGCATGTCGATAAAGGACAAACTGCTTGCGATGTCATCTACGAACCATGGTGTGAAAAATTCCCTCAGAGCTGAGATTTAATCACAACAAATTGCGGGGCTGATGGTCTATTTAAGATGGATATCGGGAGGGTAGCAGTCAGCCCATATTTGGTCGAAACTCCTTGCAGAGAGTTCACGCCTATAATCATTGGTTTCAATCAACCTTATACCAGATACGAGGCGCAGATAGCCTTCAACCTTTCTGCCATAATTGTTAAATGACTGGCAATTTTTGCCATCTTCACTTTCCCTGGAAAACCTATCCCAGCCACACTCATGTCGCGAACCGCTCTATGTTCATTTAATCACCTACCGAAGCAGTCCAATATCCAATTCATCATCAAAGTTACTACAGGATTTCCAATCTTACGCAACTACTGCTGGCCATGAAGATGCAGCCGAAGTACCGATCTTAAGTGCGCTTATATCTCGGCCAAGGGCATTATCAACTTGAGCTCCGAGGGATTGCCAGCTACGCAACAGGTGCAAAATTTTGCCGGCATATTAACTTGGTAATTCGACATAGTATGGGGCATCTGTGACTCGGTCCTGAGCTTTTACTTTCATATTCAGACTCAACAGTTAGGGCTATGTTAGCGACGGGACAAGGCCTGGAGATTGTAAGGCTTTCAAGCCTTCTCGGGACAGGATATTAGATGAATCAAAAGACGCCACAATAGAGAGAAAATTTTGGAAGCAAGATTGTGGATACTTCGATTGGAGATTGGATAGTGTCTCCACGAAAACGACTCCTGGACTAGAAGGATGAGAAGTATTAAAGGCCCGGGCGCGTCATGACCGAGTCTGAAGAGGAATTTGCGCTCCGGCATGCCAAAGTTGGATGCTCTAGACGGTTGGACTCGACATGTTCAACATATGAGTGAAGTCGCAGGTGATCCAGTCATTCAAATGAGACAAGACTTATATGTATTATGATGGCGAGACCAGCCTGTCACTACTTCTGCTCAAGCACTCGAAGGAGTACCGAAGCTTCCAATTTCCTAGCAAGTTAATTTACAAAAAAGTAATACACCAAAGGTCAGCCTGAAATTATAGAGTGATATAGGCCCAAAGGCGGAACCAAATTTATGAGACCTTGATGTGATACGTGGAATTTCAAAGTTTTTAGTCGGAGCGATAAAGGTCCAACCCCAGCCTCTTCCTCTTTGGCTTGCAAGGTTTTATTAGTGATGGTTGCCTGATATATTTGTGCCACTTGGATATTTATGAATAGCCTCAATGGAGGAAAGATTATCTATACCACCTTTTAAATAAGGTGGAAGCCATTAGAATTACATCACTATATTCAGTAGCACTACTTTTTTATAAGCTCATTCTTAAAACTTTGCTAACAATGAAGTAATATTTACAGATAATTCAACGCAAAAAATTAGCGACAAGGGTCGTACTGTCAGCTGATGTACAGTCTAGAGGGGCCTCTAGTGGAACATAGGAAGCTGCTACTTCAAACCTAGGATTTTTAGATCATGCTAATGGTCACACAATTGTAGCGGATGAACGAGGTGTGGTTGGAGAATGCAAGGTTAAGAAAATTCTCCAGTGTGCTGAATCTGCTGTGTAAGAACCCGCACATAATGGAGTTTGCAAATAAATCCAGGATGGCAGGTGTACATGAGTCTAAGACGGTTATTTAGCATCTTAAATTAACAATAAATAAATATGATGGCTGAACAGTTGAGTTCGCAACAGATAGGTTAAAAATAAGTAATATATTCAACCTCTTCTTCCGGCTTTCACGTACAACTTGATGATTTAAGAATGCCAAATGGATAGTATCGACTTCATTGGAATTCATGGATCTCTATTTTTATGGAAGGCTCCTTCGTTTGAGGAAGCAACAGTGTAATCAATCGACAAATTTCATGACAGCTGTGATTTTTAAAGGCTTCTGTTCGCCTCCTAGTATATCCTCTCCGAGAGCCGCCTCTAACTCGTGATTAGATCTACCCTGTATTAGAAACTATTCTTTCAAGTCAGCTCTCTAAAGCCCATTCGATGTGGCATATTTATTTCTGATGTAAAGCTAGGCTACGAGCTGGTTGGGCTGGCGAAATCATCACGATTGAAATATTTTGATTGGTGACCATCAATTTCGATGGGGCATCGGGGTTCTCACAAGCCCGTTCAGGGTCGTTGAACTAGCCAAGTTACCTCACTGCATGATAGTCTAAACTCCATTACAGTATGCCGTTTACCAGCGGTAGGTTTCACATGGTAAATGCTTGCGCTTTCTCATGTAGTTCAATGGGCATGTGGATCTCGCCATCTAAAATAATGATACAGAGAAATTATGCGAGGCTGACAATCCAGCCTTGCACACTTACATCACGCCAAGCTTGAACTCCAATGTTTCTCCGACTCGAGTTGGAGATATCACCATAACAGCCATCGTAGGTTGTTACTCCAGAGGTAGCTCACAGATGGGCGAGAACGCATTCGCCTGAACTCTACAAATTAAAATTTGCAAGCTTAAGCTCTCTATTCGATTACTACCAGCAAATATGCTCTCTCAGTTAACACACGCTAGCATCATCCCTCGTACTGACTAAACGCCTGGGCTCATGCAGTTGGCCCCACACTCCGCATGTGTCTCACAATCCTGTCTACAGAGCTAGTTAGCAATGCATATACAATTGAGTAACTCAGGTAAGATACATGCTGGTTTCATTCGCCGAGAATTCCGGAGGATTACCTATCGTCGATATCATCACTCATACGTGTTTGGGGTTACAGGTCGCGAGGGATCGTCGGACACAGTAAATAGATTGATATTTTCTTTTTCAAGGTATAATCGAGATGAGCTATGGGATTTAGAGACTCGAACCGATAACTTGCGTATCAAGAGTGATGACAATGCTCTTGGTGGAATTCATCTAGAATTAATTATCACGAAAACTTATTCCTTTGTCCCACGATACACAAATAAATTAGAAGTAGAACACAATTGTAAATCCACATTGGCTAGTACCACCATCGCCGTGGCGTCCCACCAAGGCCCAGTCTCTGAAAAGCCCCTCGAAGTTTGTAAGTGCGATTATTATTGAAATTCATGGAGGCCAAGCCAATGTTGATTGGATGCAGAGCCTAGACTCGGCTTTCTAATGCCTTTTAGATAAGATAGTGGCTCATGAGAGAGAATGGTTAAATTTCTGGGCATACGGACATGGCTAAAAGAGCAAATGTGGATAGTACGACATCAACCATTGGAGAGAGTCGAATGTCTCAGAATCATGACTAGGTGGCTCTGCATGTTTTACATAGTCAGAGACTCGGACAGGAAACTAAAATGAATCGACAATGATTAGGCGGCTGAGCTTGATTGGGTTTACGTGTCCTATGGTTGTGTCGCCGGAAATAGAACATGATAAATAACAGCTAAATCGAAAGGAAGCCGATGAGCCACTATGCTAGAAGGTCATCTAGCGCGCGGCCAGGTTAACGAATGAAGCGCAACACTTGCCAACTTTTTAGACTGACCGATTCATGTGTTTGTTTCCAGACTCTTGATCCCCGAGAATAAATTCATCAAATGATGGCTTCACTGCGATTAATGACTTTTACAACTTTTTTATTGGTTTTATGGTACTTTCAGGGGCATGATATAAATAACTTAATAAATAACCGCCTAGTTTGAATCTATTTATGTAGCGTTAAACAAGATCAGCACCATATGTACATCTTCAATAAATCTTGAGCCCGAAGACACTCTTGCCCGGCAACACATTCGTTAATACCACTGAGCCATGGTTACTTGGATCAAAATTGAAAATCAAATGTGGTTATCCACCAAAAGGAAGTTTCAACCCTTTTCTCTTTCCGCATGTGGGGGACTTTTCCCAGCACCTGTCAGTGGTGTCCCCTACGAACCTCCAGCTCTCACTGTAGAGTCTGCAGATCCAAGATTGAGTAACAAAGTCCTCACTTCAATGAAGATTCCTAATAGCTTCCACGATCTGTATCCTCTTCATCCCACAACACAAAACCCCATCACTATTATCTATTATAGTTCTTGGGGGTATCTGGAATGATAGAAGTGAACGTTGACCGTCAAGTCAATATTGTACGAATCGTAAGATATTGGGGATTTAAGGATCAGAGATAAAAGGTTAGGATCAGTGAGGTTTTGATTTTACTGAACTTATATTTCGGTAGTTAAAAGTGTTCGTGTCTAATCTACATCTAATTGTCTATCTATGTTCTACCTCGCTTAGGTAGAAACATTGTGTTCTGATTACGTGATGGAATAACATTCACACCACCGAGATCATTACCAACCGAGACCTCACCAAAGCTGGTAGCGATCGAAGATGAGTAGTCTTCGTCTACTCCGCACTGCGTGCAGCTCGGTCTGGCATGTCTAGATTTCAACACTATCATGAAGCCAATAACGATTAGATCAGATGGTAGGATGGAATTCCTTCTCGTCACCAACCCTTGATCTTGGAGGAAAAGCCATCCGATGAGATTCTGGAGCGTACCCAGTACCCGATACGGAGATGGCGGATTGGATCAAGTCGACTTCAACTGTTACAAAGAAGGGAGATATAGATGAATGTGCGCACCTCATGTGGTCTCGGTGTCTAGGTCTCGCCTGGCTGGGGCTACAGGTTTTTTGAGACTTTTTCCTGCGCACGCAGTTTCCACTGCCATTGCCATTGACATTTTTCTTTTTCTTTTTCTTTTTCTTTTTCTTTTTCTTTTTCTTTTTCTTTTTCTTTTTCTTTTTCTTTTTCTTTTTCTTTTTCTTTTTCTTTTTCTTTTTCTTTTTCTTTTTCTTTTTCTTTTTCTTTTTCTTTTTCTTTTTCTTTTTCTTTTTCTTTTTCTTTTTCTTTTTCTTTTTCTTTTTCTTTTTCTTTTTCTTTTTCTTTTTCTTTTTTTTTTTGGATAGAAGATTCCGTGGAAACCGTGGCCAAATTCCACGGGTAACTACTGAGCTGAGTAGCTATTCAATACGGACAATCTATTAACGATCTTTCATGTAACAAAAGAGGATAAGAGCACTGTACAAGGTGCGGCCTGGGCTAGAAAGGAGATCCAGTCTCTATATTACAGCATTACATGTAGTACTGTGTGCAGTATTTAGCTTCATTATTTCGATAAGTCTTATGCTAAAGCTCTTTATCCACGATTGGTGAAGGACTGGTGGAGCCGCCAAAGTTCCCTGTAACTTTACCTACATCCTAAATTCGTTTCAACCTCGTGAATCGCTGCCAAAGGTGCAGCTGTTTAAACAAAAACGAAGCCGGCAAAGACGAATTCTTCACCTTCCAGTGGTGCCGGTATAATCGCTCAGTATGCTCTGCATATCTAGGATAGCCAAGAAGAATCGCATTCGAATCGATGTCGAAAGCAACCTCGATCATATCTCCGTTTGAAGGCTTCTCGACAATGCCTCTCTTGTCCTCATCTGAGTTCTCAAACTCTCTCTAACCACGCATCATCTCGCATCGACGACCAATAAAGAAGTTGCTCCAATTGCAAATAGGAGCTTGCCCCATTCATTTCCAGCCATCTCTCACTATATATTTACGACGCTACGTATACCCGCAAGGAGGAGATCAAGTCAAAAAATACAAAGCCTGGGTCTTAGCTTATGGGGGAGTGTTGCTCTAATGAGACAAACAACTTAAGGAAGGACAGGCATCTGAGATGTGGAGTGAGAGGGGGATGAGGTCTCTGAAGATCATGCTGGGAGTGACATTCTCGAGGGGTTTTCAACTTTGGATTTTTTGTGGGCGCCAAGACCAAGATTTAGGCTAACTAGCCAGGAGGGCTTCTTTTGTCGATGAGCCAACGGCACTCCATAGAGCCCCGGATGGCGCAAAAGAAGTTGGGCCATGTCACTGTATAGCAATCACACTCTGTCAAGACCTTCCTGACATTTCAGCACGACCTTCGGGAAGGAGTTGGAAGGAGGCTAGAAAAGCAGAGTGTGAATACTCCGAGGTACCCACAAGTCTGCAGCGTCCAGCTGGCCGGCCTCCTCGAACGCTTCAGATGGATCACTATGTCTTCGGATCTAGTCCTAATGTCGGTATTCGGAGAGCTCCGCACCCAGTGGTTTTTGCAATTTTTCCCGGCTGCCATACACCTGCAAATGGCCGTCGCTTTGTTGGCTGGAGAGGGGAGATAATGAAGGGCAAAGGGCTCCCCTTAGTGTATGATCGAATGAGAACTTGTGAGGAGCGGTACTGTTTGAGGGGAGCTGTATGGGAGGCATAGGAGTGGATATACTACTGGTATAGGTATCCTTGGCCTATAGACAGAGAGGACCTGCATGTCATACATAGTTATAGACTTAAAGGATAATAAAATGAATTAAGAAAACAAACCCGAAAAATCACGAAAATCAAAATAACTCCAAAAACCAGAAGATTCCTCCATGTTAAATCCAAGCAATACACTCCTCACACATTCCGTTGTCCGTCACACCTTCAGAATGACAAATTAACCCATTCTCCGTTAAGAGCAAGAGGTGGGTTAGCAGGCACCTTTGATGCAGCCAGTGTCTTGCTATTGGTTAGTAGATGCCTATTAGAAGCATCGTCGAGGTTGCTGTTCCCTCAAGCTTCTTCTTCAGATTCTAGCCCTCCGAAACCTGTTGCCTCGGCCATCGAGACGTTCTTCGCCGCGGCGATCATCGCCTCCTCGGCCTTTCTGGCTACAGCCCTAGCTCGTGCCACCTTCGCAAACTTCCCTTATCGATCTGGCGGATCCGAATTGTGCAGTATGGGAGATGGGTTGTTGATATAGGACAAATCGCATAGTTGCTCAGTTTGGTGCGCTGCATACTGGTTACGTGATCTTTCTACAAACGAACAAGCTAGGGGATAAGGGACGAGCTTTCCCCAATCTGCAACATAACAATTATCATATTAACTTTACTTCTGCACGTTAATGAATATATCTCTCCACAAACTATCTTAGCTATTCCAGCGCAAGTGTATATTCCCAAATCATATACCAATCACAATATCACTCACTCTATGATGTATAGCATCGCCTTTTTTTCCAAAAACTCAAATTAAAAAGATCAATTAATCCTTATTTATTCTAGGCATAATCTAATCGCAAAACATTAAATAAGTTGTGTGGTCTGAAATCTGTTTAAACCGATTTAAGTGTTCACGTAATCACTTGTTCTCAAAAGTTCTCCCATTGACAAGAGCATCCAGATGTTCCACCATCAAATCCGCCAGCTCTAGGATTTGAATCATTTGTAAATATGGTCGGTGCTGGGTTGATAATATTTCCACCAGATCTCCTATCTTCTATGCTAATTTGTCCCGAGCTTTCAATTGGAATCCTCCGTTGATCAATTCTATAGCAGTATACTGTTTTAGCGAATGGATCGCCACCATGGCGATCTATAGTAACTGTAGTTGGATAAGGGAAAATTGTAGGCTGTTGGACGCCAAAAGACTCGACGAAATTTTCTGAATGTGAGATATTTTTTATTCTAGCTGTATTGCGACGTGTCCAGATCTGAACGAGAAAGCGCGTCTGGGACCATGTACAACGAAACGAAGCCTCTGATTTTCGTGCGCCGCCCTCTATATCATTGAGAGCTAGACTAGGGTCGTAGTAACTTTTATCACGAGTATCAAGTGATTTTAAAAATATAGAACGATCAAAGTAAGTGTAAAACCCGTAATGTTCGGTCAAAAGACCACGATCAAATAGTCTTAGAGGCTGGAGAGTTGGAAAGGGTAGTAAATTAGCAGGTGCTGCTGTACCATCTGAGCTAAGACTAAGTGCAGGGATGAGGAAAGAAGTGTTCTGAAAATTAGTTTCCCCTGAAACAGCTTGTAATATTTCCATGGCCAAGTTTTTTGGCTTGTAGAATGATATGTAAAATGGCGTCAGTTCTCCAGCTTTTTCTTCAGACAAAATACCATCTGTAGTATTACCTAAAAACCACATCTCCGAGATCATAGGAGGAGTCGGTGCAGGTGCTGACGCTGTAACGTGAAGGGCCCTTCTTAAAGAGTGCCTTATAAATTTTCCACATGGCATGAGGCATTCTTTAATTATGTGCGCTCCGATTCTTTTAAGAAGTAAGTTTGAAAATGAATGTTTAATTAGAGTACTATTATCCCATTGAATTTCTACCACAAAGTTCGGCTGATTTGAAGGATTTGGTTCTATTGTGACATGAAGTTCTTTTGGCAAGTGACAGCTCCATTGCGTAGAAGGAAAAACACACCCTGAATCTTCCTTTATGATATTTGGTGAAATAATTGTGGAGACTCCGAGAAATAGAGGCGGATAATCTGTAAGATTTAACCATGAAGACAAAGTTGGAACTAATCTCGGTTTTCTGTGATTCATTGCTGCCAACACTGAAGCTATAATAATGAGCAGGGTGAAAAAGATAGATATGAAGAAAATTGTTCGCTTTGTTTTAGGTCTCAGATTTCTTGGAGGAAATCCCATTTGCCATAGATTATGGCATTGTCGGCATTTTTTTGGACTGGATAAAATAGGGGTTTTGGTTTGACACCTACGTAATTTGAGTTTAAATCTTCTAGGTTCCTCGATTGCAGCATTATATAATTTTTTTGGATAATCTCTGTGTGAACTTCTTTCTGTGGAAGTCTTCGGCAAGCTCAAGTCTTTAGGAATAACCCCGTGGTAGCTTTGTTTGGGCGGCTCTAGTAAAACATCTGGAAGGTCTGGTGGAGAAAAAGCTCTAGGAGACATAGATTTTTTATGGGGCGAATTGAATACTGCTTGCGATACTTGAAGATGCGAAGAATTACTTCTGGGGGATGAATTAGATCCATAAATATGGAATGAATATTTGGAGGACCCTAGCGGCTTCTAAACTTAAGTAGGAACCCTTTAAACACTCACGAGGTTGATTTACTTACTATTGATGAAGTACAACTATCCTGATTGAGAGATTGAATGCTATCATTTAAACCTAATATTTGCGATGGCATTTGTTTCACTGTCGGAACACCGTTCAGATCAAAATTATGCTCTCTCGCCGGTTGTCTATCTCCAATTTGTTTAGGGCTCACACCAGTAGGAGCCCTGGTAGGTACGGGGCTAGAATATATAGCATTAGAGTTACTAGTTGATGCAATACCTAAGGGTGAATTCTTGTTGCTGAATTTATTCTTCTGAATTCCGCATAATTTAGCACTAGGGCCTTCTACAAAATCAAATTCTATAACCGATGGTCTTGAACATTCAGAAGCATGAGATTCATAATAATCCTTCTCAAAATTAGCTAAATCCATTGGATGTGATAGAAATGGAGACGTTAATATGCTCCACCACCCTTGTGATTGCCTATCAATATTGATAGTATCTATGCGGAGTTGCTTTTGGAGTGATTTTTTATTCGGAGATATATTATGCTTTGCCTCTGAAGATGTGGAAGATTTCTCATCTTGTATTCTCAAGCGATGTAGTATGCGCTCAGATTTTTCGTTTTCATTTGACTTATTTTCACACCAGTACGAATGTCTGTCTAATTCCTGATATTTAGGATTTTCTAGAAAAGTTATCATTTGTGAATCAGTTTCAGAAATTGGTAGTGAAGCCTCAGAGATGTATTTATTAGCATCAAGTGTATCTAAGCAAGTACTAGTTCCAGTGCATTTTTTGGTCTGTAGACTCAATTTTTTATTTGAAGATGATCGGAGTACTGTATCAAAGATTCGTTTCATCATTATTGCTAATTTTCCCGAGATAAAAGTCCTTTAACTTTAGGTAAATTTTGCAGCACGTGAATAATTTTATTACGCATGAAGAGAACGCAGCTCTTTACCTTTGATATCAACTATCGGTTTGAAGGTTTCGTCGCCAAAAATTTTCATCCAAATACTTTTCTACCATAGAATTTTATCGTAAGTAATTGTTGGACATATGTATCATAGACTCTGAACTCAAAAATTGAGTGAGATTTTTTTCCAAACATAAAATATATCTTGTCTAAGCGATTTGATTCTGTGACTTTGTCGTTATCAATTAGTTCTCAAATTGACGTTAGGACGTTAGATTTATTTATAGAGCTGCCGTAATAGGTGTCTTGACACAGAATTTGAAGTATAAAGAAGGCTTATCCATATAGGCGTAGAAACACAATTTTTAATCCTGCAGAAAGTGGAATTTAACAATTTATTTTGAGCTAGATGTTGTACGTTTTTTAATCTTCAAAATGAAGATATAGAACGTCTAAAGAATCTTGAATTTACAACGAATGACAACCAGAGATTAACGTTAGAATCTAATCAGAGACATATTTTAAAAGGTTCTTTAAATATTGAAGTCGTTAATGATGGCTGATAGTATCCAAGTGAAAAGATAAAATTCCGTGGAAATATTTCGGACTATCAGTATCTAGAATTACATACACAAGAATTTTACATTGAACATGATTTGATAGCCAGCCTAGCTAGCTCTTAAATTAAGTTACAACTTAGTTTGTTTTTTTTAATGGATCTCGTCTTTAGCGGACTAGTGCTTAGGACCGGCGTTTGAAGATGTAATCTAATCGAATCAGTTTACGCCACTGCAACTATCCGCATGCAAGATTACATAGTAATATATAAATGTAATTAGTCTCATCTTTAGATGACTTTGACCTACCAACTCCTTCCGTACTAGAGCAATGAAAATTATCATATCTGGCAATAAGAGGAGCTCGATGGCTATAACGCCAGTATGCCCGGCACAAATTGTATGGCAGCTGTCGCAGGGAATAAAGCATAGCAGATGTTTTCTAGATTAGCTTGCTCCGTATCTTAAAGTTCTGTAAAACTTATCTTTTCAGTTAAGATAAGTTAAAATTATATTATAGACCCTTCTGAGTCTGAGACTTTGAAAGACTATCTTTTCAGTTATTACATAAATGGTTGCTTTTGCGCATGAAACATGGGGTCACTCTATTTGAAACCCTACGCGAGATGCTATATATTTAGTTAGGTCGGCAACTTTTTATCGAAAGTGATCCGTAATTCGAGGTTGACTTCAAAAAATGCTGATTAACTTGTCCATTTAGATCTAAGAGTCGGTTATTCTATATTTTTAGAAAATGATGTTAATACCGCTGTGACCGTTGATTATAGAAGGCGAGTCATCAGAGATGTAAACTGTCTTATAATCATTTCTTAGATCTTGATACATCTCTTCATGCTCCGGGTCTGATAAGCAGCCCGACCCGTAGAATTTTTGTCTGTTTCATGTTCAGGTATTTAAATTGACTGATCTCCTATTTTTCCAAGTTTTCAGTGCTATACACATATACTGGTCATAGCCCGGTTGGAGCTTCAGGAGTATTAAGTATTTCCACACATGACATAACCATCCTTGTCGTTGACATTTTCTTACACTTTGAGGCGAGAGATGGTTAGTGGATCTTCACTTTTGTGATAAGACGAAAACCTTTAAAATCTTATTCAGCTGCTAGGTGTTTAGGAAGTCCAATATAAGCTCCTTAAAATAGATGTTGGGCGACGAAAATTCAACATCTGTCAGTGGTGTCCCCTACGAACCTCCAGCTCTCACAATAGAGTCTGCAGAGCCGAGGTTGAGTAGCACCCCCTATTGAAATTTAGACATACCAGACCATACTGCAGACAGTACGGAGTAAACGAATACTACCAAATTCGATCGCTGCTAGCTTTGGTGATGTCTCGGTTGGTAATGACCTTGGTGTTAGGAACTTTATCCCACCACTTCATCAGCAAATAATTTTTCTACCTAAGCCAGGCAGGACATGTATAGATAATTATTAGTAGAATGAACACCTTTTCTTTGATGAACAAGTAGAATTAAAGAAAACCTCAATGATCCCAATCTTTTATCTCTACTCCTTAGTCCTTCATAGTCTTAGACTCAGAAGGGACTAAAATAAATTTCTTATCTTATCTCTACTCCTGAAACCGCCAATTTCTTACAATACCCACAGTACTGACTTGACAGTCAACCTTCATTTCAATTATTCGGAATAATTCCAGAACTTTAACATGGGGTGCCCGAAAGCTCATGTACGGCACTGTTAGCTCAATGTTGATTTGCAGGTAGCTATCTTCACGTTTGTTAGCACTTCCTTTCTCGGGCTCCCTGGACCCCTTCTAAGCCGAGCAACTGAGCCAGGAGACTTAGTAAACTTACTCTTCCTGTTAGCAATTATAGAGAAGTCTTGGTTTGTGTCTATATCCATCGGCATCGCTACAATTTGAACTTTTCTTTTTCGTTCTGGTTCTCCGAAGATTAGTGTAAAGTCACCAAATTAAGTCGTGGAAGCCTCTTGGAATTAAATATTTTTGCCTTTATTGCTATAGGTATCTAGTATCTCTCTCCAGGCAACCTAGTGACTGAGGCATAGTTATTTATCGTATATTACTTGTGTTCCCTCCAGATCTCCAAGCCCAGTAGCTAGTCTATAAGCCGGTTGATGTATCTTGTTCGATTTTCACATTGAATAATAATTACTGTGTAACGACATAGGTGAATATTTGAGCGTCTCAAGCCAGGATTGATAATTGATGTGCTTTGTCCATGAATTATATCAGATACCGTGGCCGCAAGTATAGAGACTCTAGCGGCTGGATATGGATTTATGTCTTAGTCTGTGGATGTACATACAAGCAATACTGCAAACTCTGATCTCTTTTTGTAGCTTACTTTACCGAAAAGCACCTGTGCAGAACTCTCTATCCGAATCCTTGAATTTTTCTCGTGCATGCACCTATTAATTCCTATTTGAACTCCAATCTAGAATACAGCTCTGTTCTTCACTGTTAAAATCCCAATTAAATCTACTTCTCTCATAAGCGAATATAAACGTCGACACATGGAAGTCTCCATTCTCTTCTTCCTAATAAACTTCGTAACCACTCTACTCCTAGCCCTGTCCACTCTCCCTTGGAAGCGAGCATGCAGTTGGCTTCCTCTAGTGCTGTGCCAACTAAAGCAGCTGCTGTACTGTTCAATGCATTGATGTATAGATCTGTACTCTGTAACTGAGTATTATTGGCGGATGTAAGACTTCCGCGGGATTTGAACCAGTTGCTGTTGAAATCGAAGAAGCAGTGATCTGACCAGTTACAGGAAGATGCGAATAAAATAAGGAGAAGAAATGAGCAGTAAATACAGGGTCGATTCAAGAAATATGTGCATATGAAGAAAAGGAATATGAATATTGGAGAGGCGTTGGTTGGTAAGAAGAGAAGAGGTAGCCAACTAACACGTGTTATTAAGATGCATTAGTAGACACTGATTACATCTCACCTCCTTAAGCAAAACATTGTATTAGTGATCTTTAGAATGTCCTGTCACAGGTAGGTAGGGAGTTATATTGGGCCCTCAGGTTGAGGTTGATTGTTAAAGAGTTCTTTGTTGGTTCTTTAATTGCTGCCAATAACATGTAAGGGCGTCAAGAAGCGGTGCTGAGTGTAGCAGCCTCCGGTGATCCCTCCAATCAGAGGCGGACAACGAAACGGGCTAAGACAGAATGCTCAAATGGAGATGATCATTCCATCGTTTTCCTAACCCCTTCATACCACATCGTTCAAACCTAACATAAAATTTCCGCCAGGATTCATCCTCGCGGGCAGACGAAAGCTGCGATCTCCAGTAACCGTTATACTGGTTTCATCCTAGACAGTAGTGAGTTCACACAGCATCGAAAAAGGTAGGACTCTTTGACCTGTAATTGTCAGACGTCTCTTTTACCGGCCATGGCTGGATATCCAGCCTCCAGCTCTACAAATGATATCAATGGAAATGCAAGTGGAATGGATACGTTACTTGCTCAACTTCGTTTGCAAAGCAGGCCGGTTGGCTCCGACGTAAATTACCAGTACTATAACGACCGGAATGGTTACTATGCACAATCGCATCAATCTCCACATGGTTACTTTCCACCTCCTGTTCCCACGCCTCCAGTCGGAACGCCATCGAGCACTAATCCTATGAGCTTCAAGCCTGTCGATACCTCTCAGTCGAGAAATAATCCAGGAAATCAAACAAACACTGACCGCACTTCCAGTCTTCTCAATCTTTTAAAATTTAGTCAGCCTTCTGCTGCCACTACAAGCTCTAATCTTCCAGCCGCTCTATCTCAATCTCAGCTCACATCGCAGGATAACCTTGAGGCCCACGGGGCCCCAGATGAGACTAGCCAGGCCATATCTTCGCAAGAGCCTAATGAATCAGATATCCTAGCAACTTTCACAGGATATACACATTCCAAACCTACACTCAATGAAAATTCTCGTTTTAACCCTAAATCAAGCACGTCAAGTCTTGGACAATCCATTCCCTCCCCATCTGCCGATACACATGCATACCTCCTTCAGCTACTTAGCCAACCAAAATCTTCTCCCAAAGATATACCCCAATTGAAACAAGTAGACCAGCTTTCTATCTCACAACAGCAAAATATCTTCTACGAAAATACAGCTCAAAAGTCGGCACGGACTGAGGAAAATATTTCATCTACTGGAAAAATTAACAATCCTACAGTTGCCGAATCGAAGTTGGTGATTGATAAAGATGACACTAAAGAAAAAAGCAGCTTGAAAAATAATACTGGAATATTCACGTATGTAAATCCTTTTGATGGGCTAGCTGCATCATCACCTCGAAATCGTAATCCAAAACCCGAAAAACAGGCATCCTCCTTCAGTCCTTCTGTGCAGATATTGAGAAATCCTCGTAATGAGAATTTAGATGATGGGCGTAAAGTTCGTTCTAGTAGCTCAAGCTCTATTCCCAATGAACAAAAAAATAACTACGCGCCCAAACAATTCACAGGTCCGTCTACGCCTCTTACTGGAAAACTTATTCAAATCGAGCCAGTTGATGGCGCAACATCTCAGAGTAATAAGGACACAACATTTGAACGGCTTAATCTTGGGAGTGAAAATATGAACGGTCAGGCTTCACTGTATCTTGATCGAGAGGAAAAAGAAGATCAAATTGAGAGTGAGCTCAGGGAAATGCTGGCGACCCAAACTAGCAAAGATAAAGAGAGCACAATTAAATCTTCGACGAAATACTTTAAGGAGAAACAGAAAGAGGAAATTAGCTCTACTCAATCTATACCCATCGCCAGTAACGGAGAATCGGATAGCTTCGCGAAAACGTCATCCAATAGTAATGTCATCGATAATTGGGAAAGCGCAGATGTCGGTGATATTGCAACAAACGAAGGCGAAAACGCCGTTGTAAATATATACAGCTTTCCCATGCGACCCTGGACTTCTATCAACGTCAAGGTAACCAACGAGCAAATATCAACTTTCAGTGACCAAGCTGTATTGGATATCGCACGGCTTAAGAAGGACTCACACAATTTCGACAGAAACCTTGTAACCGCATCCAATAATTTTATAGCTTATGCCATGTCTAAAAATGGTGGGTTTCGCATTATTAGACAGAATAATGGCAAAGACGCTCGGATGTTCACTGAAACACAAGACCGGATCATTAATGTTGTTACCTCCATATCTTCGACCGATAAAAAAGAGGCTGTTATTGCTATTGGAATGAGTGGAACGGTTTACTGGACATTGCTAAAAGATAGCGAGGGTGATCGAATCGAAGAGGCCCAATTGGGAAACAACAGCTTTTCTCTCCCTCCATTACAGACTACTAACCCAGAGACTACAGAAACTTCTATTAAAGTGATAGCCCAAAAAAGTTCGAAACACCCGGAGTTCTTCGCTATATCTCGCGGTAAATTTATTAACATTGTTTGGCCATCAGTAATCCTAGAAAAACAATACTTCAGTAATAAAATAGATCGCGTAGTAGATACCGAAGGTTATTTCAGTAACCATGAATTCAGGATAAATGCTGGTAGTACGGCGAAAGACTTTATTTTCAGCGAAGATGATACAACTATTGTTTCCCTCGAAAGTAATGGGCAATTAAAATTTTGGGACATTCGTAGTATTACTATGAGTGAAATTCTTAATACTCAACCATCTGATTCACGGCTCATAGAAGTCAAACATCCAATCACTACATTCAACAACACATCATCAGTTGAAAAAATATGTCCCACTTCAATTTTGTTCGTCGAGAAATTCAGGCCATACCAAAGAGGGGGTGCTCAAAGATATATGGTTGTGGGCCTCAAAAAGAATCACACACTTCAACTTTGGGATATATCTTTGGCAAAGCCTGTCCAGGAAGTTCATCTACCCCATGCACACGAATCCGACGCTACCTGCAGCATAGTTTTCCACGCCGCCACGGGAATCATTATCGTTGGCCACCCCACTCGTAATTCTATTTATTTCCTCTTCTTCTCTGCGCCAAAGCATATAATGTCAAAGTCTGTGTGCCAAGCCGAATTTGTCGAAAAAGTTGCTGCTGGTGATCTTTCAATTCAGAGACCAGACTCAACGGCTGTTATTTGTGGTATGCGAGAGTATTCATTTGCCAGCAGGGGTAATCTTCTAAGCATTGACATCCTTCAAAGCTCGAACTATGATAATATAAATGAGTCAGACTCAACTATAGAGCTTTATTGTATGCACTCCAAAGGTGTCACTTGCCTAGAGATAGGACGCCATGATCTCGGCTGGAGTGTTGAAAATGAAATCTTACACCCAGCTCCCGCGGACGAGCTAAACATGGTCACTATCGATATTCTGAAGGAAAGATCTATTACTTCTCATATGAATATTCTGGAATCCAATGCTCAATCTTTTGTACCGACGCGTATTGTCCCAAGATCAACATTGAAGGAAAATGAACTTCCAAAACAATTTGTTGAAAAATCAAAGCAAAGTGAAACGCCTCGACCTACGACCTTGACTAACGATGAGAAGAAGGAGAACTCGTCCCAACTTGATGTAGTTCCAAATGCTAGTGTCATAGAGAAATCTGATAAAAAGAAGCGAAAAAAGGGTGCAAATGACAGCTCCAATCCTCAGAGTAGCACATATTTTAAGATGCCTGTCATCGATCCTTCGTCAAATGTTCGAACTGTTAACCTAAGTCGGGTCGGTCCAAATGGAAATTCTGAAAGTCAAAACCAAGCTAGTCACTTATCTCCGAGCCCTAATGCCGATCTTAAGAGCATTGAAAAGTTGCTTAACTCTTCCCTGGAAAAACTCACGCAGGAAATGAAAGATGAGTGGCAGATTCACAATTCCACGGAAACCTCTAACTACGATACTATATTCAAAATGGTTTCCTCAAAGTTTAATGGCGATCTCGAAAATATTTTTACTAATATAATTAAATCAGAAATTAATTCTAGCATTATTCCACCGATCTCTGATGCGGCTATAAATACTATTCAGACTCAACTTCACGAAAAGCTCGATGCCCAAATAGCCACTTACTTGCCTAGAGAGCTTCAACAAAGCCTCCCCGAAGCAGTCTCTAAAGCTCTGCACCAACCTCAACTTTTGAAGGTTATATCCGAATCCATCTCGACAACCCTTGGATTTAATATGCAGAAGGAGCTCAACGTATTTTTGAGTAATCATATTATGCCCTCAGTCTCAAATATGGTAGCTCAAATTACCCAAAAGCTAGCAGCCGACATGCAATGTCGCTATTTAGAGCAGGCTAACATCATCGAGAAACAGCGTCATTCTGACAGTATAAAGATTGCCCAGCTAACACAATTAGTAACAGGCTTATCAGAGACAGTCTCCTCCATGGCAGCTGCTCAGACTGAGTTCCAAGGCCAGTTCCTCAAAATGCAACAGCAGGCGGTCAATGACAGGCGAAATTTCACTCGATCAAGTGAAAGCGTCTCCAACCAACCAAGCTCTCGGCCCCACACTGCCTTAGCAGCCTCTCATGGAAAACCTCATGAAATTGAAAGCCATGAAACTATGATAAACAGTATTGCATCAGCAATGAATTCTGGAGACTATGAAAATGCTATAGTTCAGTGGTTACAGACCCGACGTGAACAAGAATTTTTTGTCAACTACTTCAGCAAATTCCAGCCGGACTTCGTCAAAGACCTGAGTCCTCTATTACTTCTATCTTTAGGGGCTACAATAAGTGTTGGATTTGAGGGAGAGACAAATAATGAATATATTAACCAAAGAGTTTTATGGCTAGAAACTATTCTAGCAGCTTTTCAAGTTCATATTAATGCCGGGAGTGCTGTAAGATAAAAATAACCAAAGTAAAACATTTACTAACATCTACACAGGATGATCAAGTTCGTAACCTCTCTCCTAAAGTAATGGACATATATCGCCAACGATTCGAGCATTTATATATGCGTATCAGTCAAATCTCTATTCATAAGCCAATCCTAAAAAGACTCTCACACCTCATCAATACTGTCAACCACATTGTAGAAACTGCTCGTGGAGATGATTATAATGAAGGATACACAGGGGAACTTGACGATGGGACTCCTAGGTAGTGTACGCCTCGGTTAATGAAAAACCGCATTCAATTCGCGATTTGCGAAATGCATATTTACTCAAAGCTTCAACCCATCGGCCAGCTGTTGTTGTGTAATGGATCTAAACAACCTTCGGCAACTACAATCCATAATAACCAATACTTGGGACGGAAATATCACAGCTTATTAACTTGATTACCCGTATCGCCCTCACAGTCCGATTTCTCTTGCTCACAACATGCACATAGTTCTTGGAACTAAATTTCTACGGAAACTAGACTTGCTAACCATTTTTTGGCCCTCTAAATCCTTACTTTTTTTCCAAGTATAGGTTCTTAGTAAGGAACTATTCAAATAATTAATACGATTTTTAGAGAAAATTTCACTACTTGTTCAACATGGCTACTCAGATTTGGTGTCTAAGTATCGAAACCTTAGTAAGATTTGAAGATGGAATTCTTAGGAAGGTAGTCGGATATAACAATGTAATCATGCCTCCTGTTAATTTCATTTGTAATTTTTACTTAATTTTAAAAAAGACCTTAAAGGATTGATAAGGCAAGAGAATGAAGCTAGCACCTTCTTGAATCACACATTATCGGTGTAAAAGCATTTTTCCCTTTTTGCTTGCCTGTGTTTAATTTTGGCGAAATTGCGAACTTATACTATAAAATCTGTGTTTAAATGAGACCGGAAAATAACTGCAGCTCAGTAGTTCCACACTTGAAATTAAAGTTCAATCTTTAATGTTTAAATTGCATGGCGTGTGATTTAAGATGGATCCCCTAACAGCCCTCACATGAACATGTTGCAACCTGACCGAAATCTACGCACATAGTTGCGAAATTGAACTGTAAAGCTTCCTAAGCTGCAACGCTCCAGTGTATGAATGCTGGAACACCTGATGAGAGATGTATTCATATCTCTACGATAATTTTCTTGTTGCAATTACAGGGTGATTTCAGTTCTCTACTGCAGTAGGTAAAGCTGTGGCGTGTGTAAATCTTGATTGTTATTCTATCTCTCTAAACTCGTGTACTATAATATAAGTAGGGGTCAACCCTTGCAAGCTACACTATCATGTGACACAGATCACATGACATAACAACACAACATACTGATACTCGTAACTGTTATATGTAGTAAGAAAAACGTTTTCTAGGACAGAAGAATATTTATTAATTTTCCATCCGAGATATAAGAGTCTTGGAAAAAATTAATTCCAATTAGAGATATGTGTCTGTAAAATTTACTGCATATATCTCCGATGTTTTCCTAAGTAATAATCATGCACAGTTAGCAATTTTTGTAATTTTTTTGTATCTTAAATATAATTTTTTATTTGATTTCATTTAGCCCGTTCAGGTACCCCATGGGCCCATGCAGGTATATCTAGCTGTAATATTTACAAGGGAGGAAACAAACTCGGTAGAAACCCCCCAAAACTGTCTGTCTCGGATCTAATGGTTTTCTGAGGTGTCCTAAAGGAAGTACGTTTACACTATACGACCAGTGTGAATACTATCTTATCCTTTTCCCGATCGCTCAATCCTTTCACTGACTGCTGTCTCAACTTCGTCTGTAAGCCGGAACTGTTCAAGCCAGCCCTTACTAAGTATCTACTCTGTAATTCTATTTATGTCATCCCGCGCTGTTCTTCTAACTTCTTGCAGTTCTCTTCAGTGGTACTTGACCAGTTTAGTATGTTAGTATCGTCTACGAACCCAACAGTAGACGAGGAAGCAGTTTGTAGTATCAGTAGGAGCCTGCTAACGAAGAACAGAAAATGAATTGGCGATAAAGATGATCCTTGAGGTATTCCTGTGCTGGTAAGGATCTGATTTTCTCTGTTTGTACCAAGGACTAACGAAGTAGTTCTCTCTCCTAGGAATGATTCTACAAATCTACTGATCAACCCTGGAATACCTTTCACTCTTAGATTGTGGATTAGCCGTTCGTGGGAGACATTGTCAAAGGCCCCTGATATATCGAGTCTGAGATGAGAAGCGACCCGGTTTTTGTTTCTTCCCCTTAGATTGTGTATCTGTTCCGTGATAAGCTCAAATGCTGATATCGTAGATCTTTTGGGTCGAGCTCCCATCTGCTCATCTAGGAGGAGATTAAAGTCTTTGGCCACCTTTGAGATCTGATTAGCTATCAATATTTCGAGAAACTTACCCATTGTTTTGAGAAGTGCTATCGGTCGATATGACCTCGGTGAGTCGTATCTAGGCTTCTGTGGCTTTCGAAGGATAATCTTCTTCGGTTCTTTAAATTCCTTTGGATGATATTCAATACAAAGGCAAGCATTGAATAACTCGGCGAGACATTTACTCAGATTTGCCCTACATTCCTTGAGTAGTCGATTTGGAATCCCGTCTAGACCAGGAGCTTTATCGCTGGGTAGTTTTCCTAGGATTTTTTCTACTTAGGCACTGGTAATAGTGTCGGAGATATTGTCCAACTCTATGGGGTAAAGGGTTGCTGCAATTTCTGATGTGTTTTCTACCACGGGTTTGGGAAAGAAGTGCTCTGCCATGACTCGGGCTATTTCCGGAGCTTCAGTATGAGCTATTCCGTTAGTATCTTTGATATCCAGTATCTGAGCTAGCCTCTGTTTCTCCTAAGGATCTTTTTCCGCCCACTTGGCAAGTTTTCGGATTTTTCCAGGGTCTTTCGTCGCTTCTACCACCGCTAATCTCCATCTAATGGTCTTCGCTCTTTTTATCTGAGCCTTTTCCTTACTAGTGGACTTCTGGTATTCTATACAGCTTTCTTCGGTGCCAATTTTTTTCCACTCTCTCCTTGCCCTTCGAGCATTCTTTACCGCCTCGGAGCATTGGTAGGTCCAGTACGTCTTGGCATACCTTGAGGGATTGGCGTTAGGTATAGTGTTACTAATTAATTTCTGGATGATTGAGGTGACCAAAGTCACTCTATAATCGATGGCTTGACGAGATTCTAGGTCACTGTGTTTTGCTCTCAGTGTTAGTAGTTCAGCATGAAGTAACTTGTTGACTTCATCCCAGTTTTGTTTTTTCCGTTGACAACATGGAACCATCACTTCTTCAAGGCTCGATTAAATTGACAGCTGCGTATGAATTGGAATGTGGTCAGAGGATGTCTCCAGCTCACCGGCAGGTTGGCAGCATGTAACTGCTTCTTCTAGCTCTCTAGATAGGAAGATAAGATCGAGGGTACTCTGACTTTCCCTTTTGCTCCAAGTTATTGTCCCCTCAGGAAGCACCAGCTCCATGTCTTTACTTCCTAACATTTCGATTAAGTCGTCTGCAAGTTTATGGTGGCAAAGCACCGTTTGATCTCCCTATCTAGGATGGTGTAGGTTGAAGTCACCCAGGAGGATATGTTGATCGTTTTTCGAGTGTATTTCTGGGAGATACTTTAAAGCTCCTAGATTTTTGCTGCTATGAGAGAGAAGAGGAGGGTTGTGTATATTGTTGGAAATATCGCGCAATGAAATGGGCGCAATATTCATGGAAAGAAAGTAGAAGTTGACTAAAAGAGTGTCATGTTCGGATTGCAGCTAAAAGTGTGGGAAGTGTGCGCTGTAAGTACAAGTGTAAGCAACACATAGCCTAAGCCACAGCATATACGAGTGTGGCGCCATCTAGGCATAGAAAACGCCCCAATAACCTGCTTGTGCCCACGCCATACAGCCGCTCATATATCCAATAGGTAGCCTGAAGCGCTACCATATTGCCCATTCCAACCTCTTACATACACACAAGATCGTGTCGGGAACCTAGAGGAAATGGACGGCCCGTACGTCCACAACACTCCGTGTCTCCATTTCCAACACATACTATTCCAGGTGAAGTCCGGGTTCATTGGATCCCAAGCCACTATGGACTCTTAGGTAACGTTCTAGCAGACAAAGCAGCGAGAGATGCTTTGGCCATGCCGTACCCGTCCCCATCTCCACTCACAATTGCCTCGGCTATAGCTTGGGTCAAGAACATACTAATAAAAGCTCACGAAGAGTATTGGTCAAAGCATGCCCCTCAGTCATATCAAGACTTGGAAATCGAGTATCCTGTGGGCTGTCCCGTAGAGCTATCACTCCCTCGACGTCATACTGCACATATATACGCTGCTCGCTCTGGACATGGAGATTTCGCAGCCTATCATAATCGCTTCAACCACGACCCCGCCAACAATACCTGCAGCTGCAGCAAACTCAAGTCTCCTGCACACTTCCTAAACTGTAGACTGATCACATCAAGCCCCCTCAAACCGCCCAGGGGCTGTTCAGACAAATGGAAGTTCTTTCTTGGGACCCCCACAGGAGCATCAAAACTTGCACAATGGCTTGAAAAATCACAGTTCTTCACCAAAATATGTCCCCGGATTCCTCTTGAGACATCAATAAATAAGGCTTAGTAGTAGTTCAAAGAAAAATAGAATAAAAGAATGCTCATGGGCTAAATTTTCTTTTCTTTCCTTTCCCCTCGTTTAATTTAGCATATCGGGAAGATATTCTTCCCACTATAACTGGATCTCATCTCCTCTAGGAGACATAAATTTCCGTAGACAGCGTGACGTATTAAGTCATCTAACACTGTTTTTCATCTTGAGCCCCTTCTTTGTTTGGGGAAGCTGGGTGCCCCCGGTTCTAGAGCAGTAAGCTCTGGCGTCCTTTTCCAATCTGGGACTAGTGTATTATAATCATCAGCTAGACATTAAATACTAAACAAACAAACATCAGGCACGACGTTAAGTTCAATCATAATCAAAATCAGAATTATCTCATCCCTAGCACCGACTCCATGCAGTCGAGAAAAAGAAGCTAGTTCTGGAAGCATAAAGCGATGGTTAGCTTCCCTGCCAGCCGAGACAATCTGTGCCTTCTCTGACGGATCTTCGTCGGGCTCTGGAAAATCAGCCTGGGGATATGTAGTATACCAAAGAGGCAAGCTAGTTGGGAGTGGTTCCGGTCCACTTCCCGTAGCAGAGGTATTCGATGCGGAGATTTTAGGCGCCACGAAAGCCTTGGAAGC